ACAGGGCCACAGCAGCCACAGGGGCACAGGGCAAGAGCAGGACACAGGGTCTGGCCCTCCCTCCTCAGGACACCTCAGCATGCCCGGCTGGGACACGGCTCCACGTCCTGCCCAGGCATCAGCCCCTCTTCCCATTTGCCTGAGGGAATTTTTAATTATTATTATTTTTAAATAGGTCAGTTTTGACAGCATGAACTGATGCATCCTTGTGGGCACATGGGCAAGCTGAGGCATTTTCTGTGAACACAGACTGCTGCTATTTTATCACTGCTTATTGTCACCGACCTCAAACCCTGATGGGGGAACTGCTTTATTTTTTTTTCCTTTTTTTTTATGAGCTGTTCAGTCCACTGATTTCTAAGTTCTCTTAAAGCAAAGCAAAGCTTTTAGGTCAAATCAAGCACTTTGAGTCAAGCAAACTTTGTTTTTTGAAATCTAACTAAAGAATATAAACTTTCAGTTTAGGATTAGCCTAAACCAATTTTTTCTTTTTTCCCAGGTGTTTCTTTTTTTTTTTTTTTTTCCTTCCCATTTGTAAAAATGAAGGGGAAAAACTCTGCCTTAGGGTAGTGCAGCTCCCTTTCCTTTTGCTTCCCCTGAGATGAGTGTCCTGAGAAGGGAACAGAGCTGGGCAAGGCTCTGGAGCTCAAGGGATAGTCCAAGAGGGAATGGCCCCAAGCTGTGCCTGGTGAGGTTTAGAGTAGAAACTGGGGGAAATCTCCCCACTGGGAGGTTGGTCAGGCATTGGACCAGGCTGCCCAGAGGCACCATCCCTGGGAATTCTCAAAAAGCTTGTTGATGTGGTGCTCAGGGAGTTGGTTTAGTGTTCTTGAACTCACGGTTAGACTTGGTGATCCCAGCCTTAATGATTCTGTGATTCTTTTGGTTAAAGGGAAGTGGAAACACAAATAAAAAAGGATTCATCTGCTGTTTGCAATGCCAGGCAGGCTCTGGTTTGGGGACAGCTTTCCCCTCCCCTCCTCCCCCAAATGACAACTTGGATCTGTGCTTGCCACATTTTAGTTTTGCTCCATTTTTACCCTAAAAAAAAGCATTTCTGTGCAGCTAGAGAGCCACTTCCAGATGTGTTTATCCTGAATGTTCTTATCCTGTGTGCCATTTGGTCATGCTGAGCTCAAGAGGGAGCTTGACCTGGACCCAGCTCAGAGGATATTGCTGCAGGAGCCACTGCTTTGAGCAACCTCCAGGTTGAAAACCAGCTTTGAAAACCTCCAGGCAATGCCTATTCCTGCCTTAATCCCTGAAATATGTCCCTCAGAAACACGGCCAAATAATTTGGGTGCTTTGTGCAGAGTGGAGAGAGCTGCTGTGGGGACTTGGAGAGCTCCACTGCCTTGTTTTGCATGTAAGTTCTCAGCACTGGAGTGCACAAACACAGGGCTTTGCATTTCATTATAATTCAGCCCAAGAAACGCACTAATAACTTTATCAGAATTGGGAATGTCACTCAAAGCACAAATCACTGAGGAACAGGCAGACATGAAGGGCTGATGTTCTCCCTGCCTCTGGAATAACAGCCAAGAATCAATGAGATTTTCTCCTAAACAAATGTTTCACTGTTGTTTGTTTGAATAAATACTATTTCTCTCTCTCTCTCTCTTTTTTTTTTTTTTTTCTTTTTTTTTTTTTCTTATTGAAGCAGGCCAAGGAAGGAAAGAAAAAGCTGAAGTGCCTGAGGTGCAGGGAAGCATTTTGCTCTATTCCCTGACTTTGCTTAGTGCCAGCTGTGTTTCCCCACTGCAGAGTAAGAGCAGGAGGGCTGAGGATTTGGGATGGGAAAGCCTGGAATAGGGGAGGAATTTCATCACATCTGTCCCTGGTGGTGGAACCCCTGGTTGTGGTGGAGGTTTGATGGCCTGGCAGTGAAATCAGGGGGTTCAGGGAGATAAACCCACCTCATCCAGGTGGGAAGGGGCTGGGAGCAACCCAGTCTAGTTGGAACTGGATGGCCATTAGGGTCCCTTTCAATCCGTGACATTCAGTGTTCCTGTGGCAGGGAAAGAGGTGGTGGAGAAGCTTCTCTGTGAGCAGCACAGGATTGTTTGGAGTGCACCCTAAAGTGCTTCAGCACAGACTGGAAAAGAAAAAAAACACATTTGGGAATGCTGGTGCATTTCCCAGGGTTTCTGAAGCCACTGTGTATCCCGGGCAGCATGGCACCCACCCATGGCTCATTTACAAGCCCTGGGTGGTGCAGAAAGCAGGAGCTGCCCTTCACAGCCCCACTAATGGACCTTCTCCTCCAGTGCCCTGGTGCTGACAAAGCCCAGGGCCACGGGGAAGAGGAAAAGCTGCTGTCATGATCCCACTGCTGGAGCCAAAGTCTGCTGGAAGGCAATGGAGAGGCTCCCAGTGGCTCCAGGGTGCTGTGAAGTGGGGGCCCAGGCCATTAAACCTCCACGGGGACAAGTGGAGGGAGGGAAAACACATGGGAGTGGGACTGCAAGTCCTCACTGAAACTGTTCTCTTATTTTTAATCTCCAGCATCACTGGACATGGTCCTTCCGGAGGTGCTGCCAGACCATTGAATGCTCCATCCCTGCCCTCCAGACACCCTCTTCCTGGAGGAAAGCAGGCAGCTTTGGGTTTATTCCATCTTTTCATCCATGCCAAAGCCTATTTAATATCAGGTTTGCTGTGGGTTTCTTTGGGTTTGGTCCCACAAACGCCTCCAGGGCAGGTCAATCCATCTCCCAAGCCACCCCTTGGCTGTGCCTGTGGAGTTTGCAAAATCCAAGGAGACCTCTGCTGTTCTGCTTGACCCTTCCCATCTGAGTCCCAAATGGTGGGAAGCATACAGGGAATATTATGGATAAACAATGGATGCCTGCTGGAGACACTGGTGATTTTCCTGGTACAAAAGGCTGCTGCATCCCCTGTGATAATCCCCCTTTCTTTTCCTCCTTGTTGGCTTTGTGGTTTTGTGATTTCTTTGCAGGCTGGCAGGTGTCCATGGCCCTGCAGGAAATGGATGTTTGTTCTTGTGTTTGGGGGGACCATACAAAGTGTAATTTTCCCACTACATTAATTACAGATGTTTCTCCCTGGCTGGAGCAGCTCCATGGTTTCTGTGTCCTTTCAGTTTGTTCTTCCCAGCCCAGACTGAGAGTATTTATGGGGAAACCCAGCTCTGACATCCTCAGCTGAGCTGAGGGAAAGTGAAAGAACTTGGCCACAAAAACTGTAGAGGAGGAACTCACTGGCCTTTTTTTACCTGATTGTAACTCCAGAATAGCAGCACAGCCAAGTTTTCCCTGGCTATTCCTCCTGCTGACACTTTCCTCAAGGATAAAAGTGGTTTGCCCTGAGAAAACAACCCTCTTGCTATGGAAAAGCAATTGTAGGGCAATTTACTTTGGAATAACTGTTCTACCTAATTCCTGGCTCCTGGAGGAGCGAGGACCCAGCCGGACTTGGAGTAAAGAAAGGAAACTGGAAGCAAAATTCAGTGTGGTTGTATCAGGTTTTGCTGGAGGAAAGACTGGACGAGCTACTGTGAAGCCCTGGCACAGGGTGCCCAGAGAAGCTGGGGCTGTCCCTGGATCCCTGGAAGTGCCCAAGGCCAGGTTGGACACTGGGGCTTGGAGCAGCCTGAGGCAGGGGAAGGTGCCCCTGTCCATGGCAGGGGGTGGAGCAGGATGGGCTTTCAGGCCCTTCCAACCCAAACCAGTGTGCGATTCTATGATCCGGGACAGCAGTGGAGCCAAAGATCATAATTTCCAGCAGACCAGAATATGCCCAAGGTGTCCCTTGGCTTGTAATGTGGGTTCTCCATGGGTTCCTGGTGAAACACGTGTCCTGTCATGGTTTTTCTTGTTTTTATCCTTCCAGAAGTGAGGCTGTAGGATCAGGGGTTGCATCAGAGGATGTGAGGACAGGGCACAAACCTGAGCCAACCTACTGGCATGAAACCAGGAGGGAGGTGAGGATCTGTGATGGGGGGACATCCAGAGATGCAGGATTCTGGGATCTCACCTCCTCTTTGGGGTCATTGCCTGGATGTGCTGCTGCCCTGGCTCTCCTGGGATGTGTCTCATTCTTTTAGGGACTGGGAAGTTCTACCTATAAAATTTCTCCCAGGGGTCCCAGCAAACCTTTGTGGTAAATCCAGATCCACATCAAATTAAGCATCTTACTGTGTTTGTTCTGCCTCCTCCCCTGTAAGCCTTGAGCACCTTCCGTGACCTCTCTCACATTTCACTTTCGGGTCGCAGCCCACGTGCAGGCCACGTGCTCCTCCGGTCTGTGTGGGCTTGTGCGGGGCTGTTGCTGCATTCCTGGGGCCTGTGGCAGCGGGTTGGGGCTGGGACAGAGCTGTCAGGAGCCAGCTTTCCTTGGGAAAGCACCCACCTGACCATGAGCATGGCGTGGCTGTGTCTGGACATGCTGGCTGCTGTTATATCTGCAGCTGGTCTGGCCGCACCAAGTGGTGGAAACTCTCCCGGGGAGGGATGGATTGCCTGGTGAAATCTATTTCATAGAATCCTAGAATGGCTTGAGGGTGGAAGGGACCTTAAAACTCATCCAGTCCCACCTCCTGCCATGAGCAAGGACACATTCCACTGTCCCAGGCTGCTCCAAGCCCCAGTGTCCAACCTGGCCTTGGACACTTCCAGGGATCCAAGGGCAGTCACAGCTTCTTGGGGCACCCTGTGCTGGGGCCTCACTGCCCTTTTACTAAAGAATTTAATTCTAAATCATCTTTCCATGATCTGAGTTGAGGCTCTAAACACAAACACCATTAGCAGCAGTAGGCTCTGTGCACTTAACTCCCTGCCCTGCTCTAAACGCAGTAGCCCCAGCAGCAAACATCCCTCCCTCCATCCTCTCAGTGCTTAGCCAGAGGAGCTGCACCCCCTGCCATCACCCCCGTGGCACTCCGTGTAAATCTCATCCACTCCCTTTTCCATTTGGCTGGTTGGGGAGTTTATTCATCATTCAAACCTTTCCTTTCACACGTTGTTGCAAAGGTAGGGATTTATTTGGGCATGAATTTACTGCCCTTGCCAGTGACAAGGAGGTGTTGCTGTGATGCTGACACAGCCATGGAGCTGCAGAAACACCATTCTGGGCACTGCAGCGAGGGAAGGTGTTCAGGGCAGGTGTAAAAGTGGGCCAGGCATGACATAAAATAGAGGAGGACAAGTGTGCTCTGCTTCCAGAGGCTGGGGGAAGATGCTGAGCAGGAGCTGTAGCAGGACATCACGGGGGGTGGAGGGAGCCAGAGAAACATCTAGCGTTGGTGCCCTCTGTGCAGTGAGCTCACAGCCCGTTGGGATTGGCCAGGAACTGGGTCAGGATGCAGCAGGATGAAGGAAACAGAACCTGAAGCCCTTGAGCAAGGCCCCTTCCCCCCCTGCTGAGCTTGTGCTGATGCTCTCAGGCTCTTCCCTGCTCCAGCACCCTCCCACCAGCCCCTCGGAGAGCTGGATGCTCCTGCAAGCCCAGCCTGGTGAGTGAGGGCACACAGGCACAGTGGTGTCCATGGCACAGCAGCACCTGCTGGGGCACCTCCTGTGCCGGGCCCATGTCCTTGGTACACCTGGAGGCACAGCTGCTGGAGGGGAGGCAGTGTCACCATGTCCACCACGGGTGGCAGATGAGCCAGGAGAGTCCTGGCTGCTGCTACTGTTTGGTCACAGCTGCTCTGGGCACCCTGTTCCAGGGCCTGCCCACCCTGCCAGGGAACAATTCCTGCCCAATATCCCATCTGTCCCTGCCCTCTGGCACTGGGAGCCATTCCCTGTGTCCTGTCCCTCCATCCCTTGTCCCCAGTCCCTCTCCAGCTCTCCTGGAGCCCCTTTAGGCCCTGCAAGGGGCTCTGAGCTCTCCCTGGAGCCTTCTCCAGGTCTCCCTGAGCATTCCCATGGCCTCCTCTGGGCCCTGCTCTGAGGCTGCTGGTACCAAGCACAAAATAGAGGAAATATTGCACTAGATTGCCCTAGGCTCCCATCAGATCTGGCAGTCTGTTTCTCCTGAAGTGGCGGGGAGGGAAAAAAGAAAGAATGCTCACATGCACACTGACTGCTACAGCAAGGTGTTTTCCTCTTGAGGAGCCTTTCCTCCCGGGAGCAGAGCAGAAGCCAAACACCTCCGTTCTCAAGGGTTCCTAGGAGCCAGGGGGGAGCTCAGGGAGGACTTGGGGAGGACACTGCCATTCCTCCCACCTGTGGGAGCAGGGCTGGGGGGCTGCAGTCTGTCAGAGGCGTGCCCTCCACCCGGAGCAAGAAGTGGCAAGGAGAATGAGGGGCATGGCCAGAGGCTTGAAGCGTGATGGGAAGCAACCGCTGTTCCTAGGCAGGCTGTGACTGCTCAGCTTTGCAAATCATACTTTGGGGGATGCTTGGCTGGCTCATGCTGTAGAGAGCTGGGGGTGTGTTTTGGTGACAGGGCCTGTGTTCTGCTGGGGAAGGAGAAGGCTCTGGATTCCATGCCCGGAGAACTGGGTTTGTTGGTGGAGCAGAGGGGAAAGGCCCTTTGGGAAGATGTGTGTCCCCACCACAGCTCTCTGCAGGTCATTTTGAGCAGTCCAGGCAAGGCTGGGTGCCCCTGGGGGTGTCCAAAGCCAGCCTTACCCCTGCTGGCTGGGGGTGACCCTGGTGCCAGAGCCGTGGCCACTCGGCCACTCCGAGCCTCAGCGCATCGGTGCCAGCGGAAAACCAACCACATCCAGCACCAGCGCTCCATCCTCACCCAGCTGCCTCCAGCCCTGCCCCCACTCCCAGAGCACCCTTTGGAAAAGCATCCATCCCAGGAACTGCGGTTCCCTTGAGCCCAGGGAAGCAGGGATTCTTCCCACGAGGCTTTAATTAGCAAAGGCTCAAAGGCTCCTGCGACTTTTTTTTTCCCCCCCTCCTGCACAGTTTGCTCCGTGGCCATTCCAGCCAGGAATAAAAGTTTCCTTCCATTCCCCAGCGCTTGGGGAAAGCAGCTTCCGTCAGCACTGCCTGTGCTCTCGGCTGTGCTGGATATGGCAGGGCTATTTTTAGAAACCAGGGTTGCCATGGCAACCCAGTGTATTTTTCCTGTTAAATATAGCAGCTGTTGCAGGGAACTCTTGTCCTTCTGGATGTAAAGGCTGTGTTTCTGCCCTCTGACAGAGCTCAGGGTATTAGAGGCGGATGAGAAAGGATGACTAAATAAGTGGAAGCCCAGAAGAAACTGTGGATCTGTAATTACACAGAGGGGTTTGGGATGCAGCCGTGTGCATCTGCAGCTTCTGCATTGAAAACAGTGTGGGGACAGGGACAGGGGAGTTTTCCATGTGGGATTCCATGAAACCACCCAGCCCCTCTGTCTCCAGCTGCCCAGCCTGCCTGGCTTTGGCTGTTCTGCTCTCTGCCCCTTCCAGGAGCCAGCCTGGTGCTGGCCAGGAGGAGACGGGGGGGTGCCAAACAGGCCTTGCTGTCCTTTCTTCTTTTGGGGAAAAACCAGTTTTATTCCTCCCTGCACATCAGGAGCCTGAAGCAGAGGTCTGTGGTACAGGGCTGGGGCCTGGAGCTACCTCCATCTCCTGCTGGTGATGGATGCCCCAGTGGGAGCAGTGGGAGAGGTGCAGGTCCCTTCTCCTGCGGGGCCAGGCCGGGGATGCCGTGTGGGAATGCTGTGGCACTATGTTTCATCCCAAAGCAGCAACATTCCCTGGACTTGGGGGTCAGTGGGAAGCAAACTGACTCTGTTTCTTTAGTTTTTAAACTGTATTTTTTAATTCACTGGATCCCTGTAAGGTATAAACACATCCCATCAAAGGGCTGGTTTCCATCTCTTTGGAGGATGGAGAGGAGGAGGAGGAGGAGAAGGAGAGGGCTGGGGAGCATGAGTGCTTGGGCCAAGGGCAATCTGTCAGCTGGGAGATGGAGATCTTTTTTTTAATTAACTAGACTTTGCCTCATTAAATGAAGAAAGAAACCAGAGCACAGCAGATATGAGCAGGGCTTAGCATTGCTGAAAGTTTCCTTAAAAAGTGGATGCAGCAACAAACAAACAAAGAACCAAATTTAAACCAGCTCGAGTTCAAAGTATCTGTGGAGGTCACTGTGACCAAGGCTTTGAACAGGAATAACACATTTCTGGGAACCTTATCTGCTCCCTGAGCTATTGTGAGTGGCATCTATTGCTGGGGATGTTATTGCTTTTCTGGATTTAATAGCAGAAGCAGTGCTTGTGCAAGCAGAAAGCTGCAGGGGGAGAGCTGCCTCCGTGGCCGTCGGGGGCTGGAGTTCACCAGGGGCATGGTCCCCTGCAGGGTGGTTTGGAGTCATGGGGCATTTTGAAGAGTCAGGGATTTAGGGGGATGGAGGATGGAGTCAGATGCTGCCTGCCCCCCTGGATCTGCAGCCTGCTTGAGCATCCTCTGGCCGAGGGCGTAAACATGGGCTCATCCCTGCGGAAGTGCTGCCCATAGTGAAGGAAGGAAAGGCTGCCACATCACATGTGAAGATCTCCTTGCATCCTTCAGGGAGTGGGTCGTCAGGGGTTTGTAGGAAAATGTAGCTTGCAGCTGGGAGGGACATTGAGGGCAATGATTTCAGGTGCTGCTCTGGCTTACATCTAGCATGGGCTGGAGGAGGGGCACTGGAGTGGGCACAGCTCCAAAACTACGTGTTTGTACATGGAATGGTTTGGGTTGGAAAGGCCTTTAAGGACCATCCAGTCCCACCTCCTGCCATGGCAGGGACACCTTCCACTCTCCCAGGGTGCTCTGAGCCCCATCAGCCACATGCCTGGTGCCAAGCAGGTGTGTCACAAGCCCCATCCTTTCTCCATGCCCATGAGGCCCCTGTCATCCACTGCTTGCACTCTGTTGGTGCCAAGGGCAGAGTTTCCCCAGGAATGGGTATTTATTAAAACTCCTGCCTCTGCTTAAAACTCTGCTCTGCTCCCTGTGTATTCAGGGAAGGTCAGGGTGTTTATGCTCCCTGCTGTCCCCGGACTGTGGGTTTATTGCAATCCCCCCAGCAGGCAGCAGTCCTGGGAAGTTTTCCCTCTCCCCCTGGGCATTGGCTGCCCTGTCCCTCGGCCATTTCCAGGGACTTGTGTGAGGAAGTGCCATGGCAGTGTCTCACTCTCCCTGTGGCAGGGGAAGGGGGTTGGAATGAGATGGGATTTAAGGTCTCTTCCAACCCAAACCCTTCTGGGATTCTGGGATTCTCTGATTCCATGATCCAGCCTCAAAGCACTGAATGCTGCAGCCAGACACGAAGCTCAGCTGTGAGGATGAAGAAGGGAGCTTGGAACACCCAGGCTACTGAAGAGATGCATCAGCGCCTGCTCCCAGCTGTAGGAGCAGGAAGGAGTGCTGGGAGCTCCCTCCCCACAAAGTGCAGAGGTAAGAGAAGACAGGATCTCAAAACCTCCAGAAAGGTGTGCTGGATACCCCTGTCATCAGCTCTGTACCTAAGTGGGAAGGATGCTTTGGGGCTGATACTCCCACCCACCATCCCTGCCAGAGTCACTGCAAGGGCTGTTTGTTCTGGAAGTTCTGTTCTGACATGGGGTGTTTTCAACAACTTTTTTTTTTTTTTTTTTCCTTGGGGAACATTTGAATATTGGAGGAATTTCTGTTTATTGTAGCCTGAAAGCTGACAGTGCTGCACTCCCCTTTCCAAGCTCAGCCTGCATCAGTCCTCAGTGTTTGCCCATTCAGCCTCAGCACCTTCTGAAATTCTCTGAGAGAGGAGTGTCATGGTGGTGCTGCTTCAAGGGGAAAGTCCGTACTTTCTGTGAGAGAATTCCTGGGCACCAAGAAATCAGGGAGCAAGTCCAGGCTGTGGACTCCCCATCCCTGGAAGTGTCCAAGGCCAGGTTGGATGGGGCTGGAACCAAGCTGGAATGTTCCCTCGCCATGGCAGGGGGCAGAACAAGATGATGTTTTAATATCCTTTCCAATATAAACCATTCCATGATTTTATGATTTCCAGTTAGTCCCAAAAATCTCCGATGTCCCCATAGGAATGTGAGTTTGACCCAAAGCCATGGCAGGAGCAGAGGATAGTTTGTTGGGAAGCTCAGGATGGATGTGGATAGCAGCCTCTTTCTTTTCTCCTTTCAGAGAGTTTTCCATGTTCAAACCAAAACCTGTAGTTATGTTGGGGTGTTGAAGGTTTTTCTGGGGTTTTGGGGGGGTGGGGTTGTTTCTGGAGGAGGTTTTTTATTTTTGAGGGGATTTTGGGGTGGGGTTTGATTTCATTTTGCATTTGTTTGTTTGTCTGTTTGTTTCTAGGGTTTTTTGGTGTATTTTTTGTGTTTTGTTTTGGAGTGGGTTTTGGGGGACTTGGCTTTATTTCAATTTTTTGGGGGTTTCTTGAGGGTGGGTTTGTTTTTGGAGATTTTTTTTTTGGAGGTGTTGGTTTTTATAGGGTTTATTTTTGGGAGGGCTGGGTTTCTGGGGGCTTTGTGGGGGGGTCGTTTTCTGGGGGTTTTTTGTTGTTTTTTTTTTTTTAGTTTCTTTGCAAGTACTATATTTTGAGGGCGCTAGAGTTTTGGGTTTTTTTGTGGGAGGAGAGTTGGAGTTTTTATTCGGATTTGTTTTGCCTGGGGGAGCAGGCTTTTTTGTTTGTTTGTTTGTTTGAGGTTTGTTTCGCTCTCGGTGAGTATTGGCCGGGATGCAGTGATGGGATATCTCACGCCCTCCCCCTGTCTCTCTCTGTTTTTCCAGAGGTCTCATCCTTGCTGGATCCTTCCCCTGCTGCTGTGTTGGCTCCATGTGTAAAGGGCTTGGCAAAGGAGGATATCAGGGAGAGGTAATTATTAATAACTGTGAGAGTGACCCTATTTGGGCTTGGTTTTAAAGACCCCCAAAACCATCCACGTTTTTTTCCTTCTCTTCCCTGGAATTCAGATCAAGTATCCCTTTCTGTGGTCAGGGTACACCTCCTCCATGCCATCTTTGGAGCCCCAGGTGCTGTTTGAAATCCTCCACTGGCTCATCCCTGCATGCCCTGTCCGTGGGGGACAGGGAGGATGCTCGGCACGCGCACTGGAACCTCAGGCAGGGCGGGATGTGCCCGATCCATTTCATTTCTGGCAGCAGTGGGAGAAAAGAGAGCCTTGGAAACCTATAAATCAACCATCTCTCAAACTGTGTGGGATTAAGGAAAAGGTGCAGAATAGAAATGATTTCCTCGGGGGGAAGCACATCCTTTCATTTGCCGAGGAAAATGATGTCTTCATCAGTTGTCTTCCAGAGACTCTGAAAAGAATTAAAGGAGGGCTCAGAGAGTGCAATTATTGTGGAATTTTGGAATCCCTGACTAGTTTGGGTGGGAAGGGACCTCATCCCACGCCCTGCCGTGGGCAGGGACACCTTCCACTATCCCAGGGTGCTCTGAGCCACAGTGTCCAGCCTGGCCTGGGACACTGCCAGGAATCCAGGGGCACCAACCACTGAGTGTGACTTCTTTGTGGTCAGCATGGGTGGAAGAAAGGTCCCAGCTCTGCACAGCCCTGAAGGGATCTTTTATTCATCATCAAAGCCATGGGATGTGAATTCCTCTGGTACCTTCACTCAGTTGTCACATGGAAATTGAGTCTATTAAGTAGCTTTGTGCTGCAGCCAGTTCATTACTGCAAACTTTCACCCAACTATCATTACTGTTACTATTGTTATTGTGATGCCTCCTGCTCTGCTGTAAATCAGACCCGGGACTCTTGCTGGACTTTTCTGAGTTGTCTCAAAACTGGAAGGCAAATTCCTGTGAGCTCTGAAGCGAGGCTGACCAGCTCAGGCCACCCTAGAGATGGCCAACAGCAGGATTTGGCCAAATCTCCAGTGCCACAGAGAAACGAGGTTGATCACCTCCCTTCACCCTGGAGATCACCCTCCCACCTGTGCCCTTCCTTACCCACTGTCATCCCTGTTTTCTTCCATGCCTGACTTCACTCCCAGCCCTGATGATTTTTCCTGTAAAACCCCAAAACTTTTGTTTGAAGAGTGGGAGAGGGGGAAGGCGTAGCCACCCAGCAGAGGTGCAATGAGAGAGCACTAAACCGAGCTCTAATTGCTCATTTAAGCCAGTTAATTTACCAAACCCGAGGGATTTTGAAAGGGTGTTTAGGAGCCTTGCCCTCCCTTCTCCCAGGAACAGAGGGGTGCCCCACAACCACTTTGGGTGCAGCCTCCTCCGAGCTGCTGCTGGCGATTCCCTGGTCTGGGAGCATCCCTTTTCCCCCAGCTCGTGGAAACCCAGCCTGTTCAGCACTGCAGGGTTTGCAGGCTCCAGGAGAGAGAGAACCTCGCTGGTGCTGACACGGCAACAAAACCGGTGTGTCTGCAAGAGAGGAGTCAGCAGCAGCTGCGCCCCTGCGAAAATGCTCGCCGTGATGGATGCTCTGCCCAGAGTCTGCTAATCTCTTTTCCTCTAACTCCGAGGCCTCCTTAATTGTGCTGCCTGTGATTAAACAACTCAGTGAAGGCAGTGCTGGGAGATGTTTACTCCACATGGGGATGTCGCTGGCCAGGCTCGGAGCACGCGGAGCGTGTTTCACAAAGGGGATGGGAACAGCGGTGTCTGGGCTGCTCTGGTGACCCTAGAAAGGAGCTGGGGAGACCCCCGGGAGGGTTTGGTGGAGATCCACCTGGATGATCCCAAGATAGACAAACTCCCACGGGGCTTTCCTGGTGGTGCTTTCTCCTGCAGCCCTCCGGGAAGCACATGGATATGGGGAGGAGTGCTGTGCTTGAGGCGAGCTGTTCAATCTGACCATGTCCCCGTGGGCTGAGGGCAGCTTGGCATTGTTCTCCAGCCCCAAGAGCTGCCCTCAGACGCTTTCTGAAGGATGCTGAAGCCTTGGTCTGCAGGAGAAACGCAAAAACAGCCCCAGGAGGACTTTGAGATCATCTGAGGCACTTTGTCAAAGGACAGATTAGAAGGGAGTTTAGAATGATGGCAGGGAACGGATCTTAAATCCCATCTGGTTCCACCCCTTGCCATGGGCAGGGACACCTTCTACCAGATCAGGTTGCTCCAAGTCCTGTCCAGCCAAGGGCAGGATCCTAGCCCCAGGCTGACACAGTCTGTCCCATTCCTGGCCACCCTGGAGCTCATTCCCAGGTTCCTGGAGGTGGAGGAGCAGGTCCTGTAGATGAAGTGCAGCGATTGCCTGAATATTCATGGATCGGCGGGCAAGCTGCAGCGGGCCCTTGTTACAAACTGCTACCCAAACTGCTTACATCCATCAATGAGGGAAATAAATAAACAGATGCTTGTTAATTGACTTAATTACCCACCAGCAAACAGGAGACTGGGAGCACATCAATTTAAAAAAAAGGTTTAAGAAGTGTCTCATAGTAATTCTTTCCCATGTGCAAACCATGCTGGTGTCCTCTGCCTATAATGAACTCCCCCAAGACAAGGAATGGATTTTCATTATGCAGGAAGGAGGGGTTGCATTTTGAAAATGAGAGTTGTGGCTGGAAATGAGCCCTAAATTCATGCCCTCTTCCCAAAATCAGGGCTGGGCCAGCGCACAAAGCTGTGCCAGGAGTTATTGCAAATAACCGTCCTTGAGCAAGAGAAATTCAGCAGCTAAGGTAATCCTTGTTTTCCAGCTGGGAGAAGGCATTAAGGAGAAGAAGGTAGGGCTGGGAAATTCTTAAAATTTTTTTACTTTTTCCTTTAGAAAACTTGTTCCTCTCACTGCTGTGTGGATGTGGGGTGAGTGATGTTCCTGATGGGGCTCGTGCTCAGTATCTACAGCCAGCAGAATGGGATGAATAAATAAGAAGACTGCTAGAGCCAGAGGCCCGTGGCCAAATCTACTATTTTTTTGTCCCAGGGTGGACACAGAAGGTCCTGTGCCAACCCTGGGGCAATCACAGAGGGGTTTGGGTTGGAAGGGACCTTAAAGCTCATCTCATTCCCGGCCCCTGCCATGGACAGGGACACCTTCCATTGAACCAGGGTTCTCCAACCCCAGTGCCGCCACCGTGCACACACCTGGAGCCCCTCCAGCCCCGTGCCTGCCATTTTCCAGCCTCCTTTCCCAGCATGTTTGCCCTGTTCCTGCTCTGCCAGGGTGGCTGTGCAGAAAAACCAGTGTGGGCTCCCTTGGGACTGCTGGCATTGCTCTGCAGGGCTCTTATCTGCAGATCTTGATTAATGAGAGTCCCCAGGGTAGGCAGGTTGTGAAAGAAGCCCCATGATCATGGCCCTGGCTGTCTTCCTGACGTCAGTGTGACGCAGGGCACCCAGGGCAGCATGGGGCCCTTGGGTGCAACCAAAGAGAAAATAAAGAATGAAGAGGTGGAGTGAAAGGCAATAAGAGATGAAAGGAGATTTTCTTATCAGCCAGAGCTGGCAGCTGGAGTGAATTTCCTCTTCCCAGTGCAGGCTCTGCAGTGTGGGTGATGTTCCCTTGCATCCAGCCCTCGCCGTGGGCTCTGGGGTGGCCACAGGAGAAGGGGGCACTAGGCAGGTGCTGCACCAGACATGGGGCTCCTCTTGCTCAGATCTGAGGGCACATGGATTTTGGGTCCTGCAGGGATGATGTTGTGCAGAGGACCTTTGATCACAGCCTCCTGATGTGCTCTGGCTGGGCTTTTACCCTCGGTGCTTCCAGCCACTGCTGAACGCAGGTGACATTGGGGACAAAGCCTCTGAGCAACACTCCCAAGTTTCCAAGCAGGACGGGTGCCAGCTGGATTTGGGATCAGCCCCTGTGTTAGGCAACACAGACAGGGATTTCCAGGCAGGCTGGATGCTCTTGGCAGGTTGGAGTTGGAGTTCTTGTGGTGTCCTTCCTTCTCTGGTGCCACAGTGTCGACAGCAAGAAGGGTGGGCTGGTGCCCTGCCAGCTCAGGACCACGTCAGCAAAAAAAGTTACACCTTTTAGATCCCTGGGGGATGCTGGGTTTCCTTTGATGCCCATTTACTTGTGCTTCTTTCCAGGATTTAAAAAAAAAAATCATGAAAAATATTAAAACTCACCAATTTTTGACTGTGTCTCTTCACAGAAGAGAGAAGAGGAGGGCTGGGAGGGGGAGATGGGACAGAGCTATTTTAGTGCAAACCCATCTGTGTCGATAATTCTCCATCCAGCCCCAATCATTGCTGGATGTGCTGGGTGGCCTGGCCAGGAGAGCGCCTTCCCTGATTCCCCAGCTCTCCATCCCGTTGTTGGTGGGTCAGCAGCGCTTCGGGAGAGCCGGGTTTGGAGCTGGGGGGAGCGCACGGCTCCCTCCCCTCCCTGCAGGCAGCTCCACATCTCAGGAAGAGCGATTTCGGCCCCGGCGGCCCCTCAGCATGTTCCGGAAAGTTCCATGCAAGCTGTTTACTTCGGGACATATGCTGTGTTGATGCTGCCTGCAGTCTTGCTGCCTCTAATAACTTTGGGTGTAATTTCCTCCGGTTTGGTGCCTGGGGCAACCGATTGGCAGCTGTGGGAAGAGAGGGGGTGCAGATGGCCACGGCGGCTCCCGAGCCGCTCCGGTGCTGCTGTACAAAGGCAATGGAGCCTCTGTGGGGAACTGGAGGAGGAACACGGCTGTTCCCGGCCTCAGGTGAAGTGTTTGGGCTGGGATGTTCCGTGTGAGCCAGGTAGAGCTGCCTCCCACAGCAGCGGCTTCTCAGTGTACACATTAGAGCGTATTTACCATGTAAATTAATAAGTGCCATCTGCTTACCTCTGGTGTTATGGGAATGTTGTCTTGTGACTGGCTACAAACAAGACAACATTGAAGAGGTAACACCTGCTGGGACATATTTCTGCCGTTTATTTCCAAACATTGGGAGGTTATTTTGGATGGGAGGAAGAGGCACCAGCTCCTCTTTTTTAAGCATTAAGTGCTAATGAGATGTGGGGATTGCCAGGTGATATACTTGAGGAATTGGTGAGGATGGAGGAAACAGCATCCAAGGGCAGAGGAACCTCGACAAGGATGCTGCACCTCTGCGCCTTGTCCTCAACTGACGAAGATTTAAGGGGATGTTTAGCTGGTGAAAAGTTGCTGCTTGTCAAATGCAGAGCTCGCTGCAGGGATATATTGATTCCAGGCAAAAGGGCCCTAGAGGTTAAAAAAAAAGAAAAAAAAAAAAAAAAAGAAAAAAAAAAAAGAAAGGTCTGTCAAAACAGCCCACTTCAGCCTTTGGGGATGGAACGGTCTCAATTTTCATTTCAATGAAATTTCATTTCAAAATCACAGCCCACTTTTGAAATGGAAATTTTTCTAATGCTGAGGCAGAGATGAAATCCTTCCCTTTTAGCAAAAGAAAATGTTTTG